GTTGAGGGAGGCAGCACCCACTCCTACACACCATCACACTTGGAAATGCTGCAGTGATTACACTGACAAGACAAAAGCAGAATACAACAGTGCTATTCTCACTTCCCAGCTTTCCGTAGTCCAGATGAGGGCATGTGATGAACAAAACTAGCAGATAAATTCCAGCAAGCGTTAGGATTGGCCAGGCCATCAGTTATGCCCATAGGGACTGGAAAATTAGGTCACTTTTGGGGCAGCTTTTTCAAGGTAGCAGCTAACACACTTAACAAGGGCTGACTATCCAGTAAGGTAATTTAAATTAAACACTTTTCACTGCAGGTCAAGCTAATTCAAACCACTCTGTTTAAGCACAGGCAGGCGTAGAGTTATCACAAACCAACAAATGATAAACTTTTAAAGAACTAAAATGTTTTCATACAGTCAAGGCATCAAGCATGCCTTTCCATGAGGAGAGTTCAAAGAACATCCCGAAAGGATACAGAAGTATTTCCCTGCTCACTGCAGGGGGGTTCAACTAGAGGACCTTTGAAGGTCTCTTCCAAGCCAAACTATTTTGGTTCTGTATCAACCTTTTAATGCCACCTGCATTACAGCACTACCAAACCAGTAACTCTGATCTCAGCCTTTACAATGGTACCTCTGTAATATGTTCACATGCTTCTTCCACAAGGAAACCAAAACTACACCAAAAGGAATATAAAACTTGGATGTGGAGCAAGTTTCATGGAGAATTGAAACAGACCTCCACAACGAACATTAAATAAAACCGAAAAGCTTTGTTTTCAGGTCACACTTGTAAAAATCTAGGAAATCCAGTCTAGAAAATATCTTTTCCGCATTTCACAATACTGAGTTTTCTGAGGGAACAGCTACCAGGCAGCAAGTGTGTTTAATTTAGTATTTACCATTTAATTATCTCAAGGGTTTTGCACTCCTGCTTCTCTTCTCGGAGGAAGAAAGTTTTAATCCCGCTTTTTTCCCCCTCTCTAGGCCGTTGTGGCCGATGTGATGCAGCCCCTCGAGTGCCATCTCCAGGCACCGCACCCTCACGGCCCCGGGGCCGGCCTGGGCAGAGGGCACTGCCCTCAGAACGCCTCCACAGGCGGAGAGGAGGCTCTTGGCAGTTCCGGGAGCGGGAGAGCGTGAGACAGACAGCGAAGAAATGAGAGCGAGCCCGGGACCCGCAAACAGACGCAGAACGAGCCCAAGGGCAGCTCCGGCTCGGGCAGCTCCGGCTCCGGCCCCTCCCTCCCGCTCCGCCCCTCAGCCCCTCAGGGCCGCGCGCCCCCGGCAGGTGGCGGCGCAGGCGCGCGCGAGGGCGGGCCGTGGGCGGGTGCGCGGGAGTGGCGCCAGCGATAGAAGGGCGTCGGGAGGAGTCCTTAACGCAGGCGCGGTGGCCAAGTGGTAAGGCGTCGGTCTCGTAAACCGAAGATCACGGGTTCGAACCCCGTCCGTGCCTTGGTGGTTCCGCGCTGGGGGGAGCTGTCCCATTTCTTTTTAAGTGAAGGCGGAGCCGCGGCCGCAGCCGGATCCGCCCGCCCAGCACCGGGCACAGCGGGCGTGGCGGCTCCGCAGAGCTCCGGCCGCCGAGCGCACCCGGCAATGGCAGAGCCGTTGGCACCGGGCACGTCCCTGACTCCCCCAGCCAAGGGTCTCTGACCGGCGGCAGCGCCTCCCCCGGCCCCAGCGAATGGTTCTGATCCGTGTCCTGACGCCGCTGCCTCCACCGCAGGTATCCCTGCCCTGCCGCATGCCTCAGCGGCTGCACCACCGCCCTCCTCACATCTGCGCCAAGAGAAACGTTTTGTTCGTGTTTTCTTGGAGCCTAATGCTGTTTTCAAGAGACCCTCAGTTCAGCCTGAAGAAATAAAAAGTACTTTGAAACGTGAAAGGCCAAGGTGACTGCTGAGGCCGAGTGCAAGTCGTGTCACGCGCCTTTTCTACACAGCAGCCTTGAGGCAGGTGCTGGTGTCCACCTTAACATGGAGTCATTCCTGGGAGGAGCACCAGGAGCCTCTGCAGGGTCTTGTTTAAAGACATCCTCCAGCTCCTTCAAGCTCCTGTTTGCAGAGACCCTTCTAGAGAGGCTGCAGCTATCAAGATCAGCCCCCAGGTCCCTTTCACTGGATCACCCCCACCCTGCCACCATGTAATTAAGTATTTATTAATTGGTTCCATCTTCTGATTAGTAAACAATGAGGTTTCTTCATCTGTATCACTAACCACTTAAAATTATTATTTGCAATCTGATTAGCGTGTATGTTTCTAATTTTTAATAGAAAAAAAACTCCCTGTGACGCTGGAAATGGGTAAGGAAAGGGTGTGGTGGTTGCACTCACAGGAGCCCAGCAGTGCTCCCCTGCTCCAGGTGAAACAAACACCGGGTGCTTTGGACACAGCTGATCCAGCAGGACCGCACTGGCCAGGAGCTCCAACTCGGTGACACTGACGGGACCAGGCACCAAACCCGCACACACAGTTAAGGGTTGATAGTACTTAAACCCATCCTAACAGTGTAAATAGGAACAGAATTACTAATTGAAGGGAATCTTTATTGATTCATGTTTGATATTTACTCACCATTTGAAATTTTACTGATCGCTGTGTCCAAACAATCAATTTTGTTCTCTTCCTGACACATCTTCCTCTCATGTTCTGCACCACTGTTGTAAGGAATATAAACTGTACGTTTATTGTATGAACAGAAATAAATGTCCTTAACTATTTACACTGGATTTTGTAAATATTCTTAGATATTTTTACTTATGGATACAAAGGACGGTGAAGTACACCCATGTCCCTGAAACTACCTTCATAGGTATGCAAAAAGCAAACTCAAGGACAAAACACGTATCTGATAAATACTGCTTTCTGTTTACTATAGCCTCAGGGATAAGCCTCTCAAGGAGGGTGGAGATGAGCCACCTTGCCACTGATGAGTAAAGCTTTCATAAATTCTTGCTTGTTTTTTAGAAATAGTATATTTATAGGACAAAGCCAGGTATGCACAAGAGCTCTATGTCTGTGTCTCACTCTCTTAACGATGGTTTGAGGCCTGTGAGTCTGTGTTAGATGACACAGAAATCAGATGACACAGTCTGTTTTTCCACAGTTTGCAGACAGAACTTACATTTTGTTGAATAACACTGCTAAACTATTAGTGTGATAACAATGTTGCTAAGTAACATTTTTAGACATGTCTTGTGGCTATTTACTTGAAATTAATTTTGTAATTACAAAACTATCTGTGCACACACAGCCTAGGAGAAATGTGTAGCCCAGAAATAGTAACTCCAGCAGCAGTTAAGAGGTAGAAATAATTGATATATCACATGGGTCTACTGCCACAATGGATTAATTTACCTGATGTTAAACTTTTTTGAAATTGTTACTCTATTTGCCTTCAGCTTTCTTCTTTTTAGACAACACAATGCCCAAATTTAAAAATCTCTCCTTTCAGGCCACATTCTCTACACCTCTAATCATCCTTGCTACAATTCCCCCAGTCCTCTGCAGATGCTACATATTCTTCTTGAACTGAGCAGCCGGCGAGGCTTAGCAGCAGTGCTCAGAGCAGGGCATTTCCACAGAGCAGGGCTCAGGGCAGAGGCCAAGCAGGAATGAGCATCATACACCCCAGCAAAGGCCAGGCTGCCATTGCCACTGTGCCCCGAGAGGCTGCCCAGCTGCCACGGCACCACAGCACACTGAGCTCACACTGAGCACTGACCAGCACACATGGCCCTGTCCCCAGACCGCACCACGGGATGTGAAATTTAAACCCCAAACTGGCTCCCTCGCCCCGCGCCTGGCAGCACTGCACCCCCTGCAGCCCTGGCTCTCTGGCACCTGCACATCCCTGTGGCACCCGGCACAAAGGGTAAACCAGAACCCAGGGGCTGGGGAATCCCAGGACACAATCTGTACTACAGTCATGTGAAATGAGTCCCCTCCATTTAATCCAGTTTCTATCACTGCATAATTAAAAAAAATTTAAAAAATCCCTTACACTGTGCAGTGATATTGGTGAATTCAGAAGGTGAAGCAAATTTAATTTAGCTTCATATTCTTTATTTTGTCACTATAACAGCGTCTTGCTGCCTTTTTAATTGAATTTTGCTTGTGACAACCAGTATGACCAACAGAGGACAGCACATCCATTTATTTTCATGATTAAAAGATCCTGAGCTTGAAGCTGCCATTCACTTTTTCACTCAGGAAATGAGAGTGACAGGCAGAGTGGAGCAGTGTGCCATAAGTAAGCCAGCCAGATTAAAAAGGCCTTTTTGCAATTAACTAGAGCTGTTTTGAATTCCAGGAGATTACTTTAAGTAAATCTACTTCTAACCAGGCATTATTGCTAACGAAACACTGTGGGTGCACGTTGGTGAGACCTGCGTCTGTATTTTGACGCAATTGTTTACTGAGCGCTGCAATAACAGTTAAAACATACTTAGGAGTCAAAGCACACTCGAATGTCAGGTGAACTCTGCTAATTCCCCTTCAAAACTGCAGACAGACAAGGTGTCTGTAACCAAGTTTTGATTAAATGTGAGTGTTCATAAAACACTGAAGTGAAGCCAACTCCAGTGTTTTCATTGCATCTGATTTAGGGGCAGAGAAGACTCTGCAAGTCATAATGAAATTCAAAGAACAAACCCAAGGATTTCATGTGGCTGAGGAGAATTTCATTAAGGAAATCCAATTAACCTGCAAGAGTTGCATAGATTGAAATCTATTATCTTTCTCCAAAAGCTGGCTTTGTGGTTTTTATAGCAACCTTTGCTATTCCTGGATAAATAATGCTTTATTACAAATGCACTGACATCTTTATATAATTAACAGCATATAATAACGTCTTCATTCATCTCTGCTTTGCAAACATGCAATTCTGCTTCCTATGAAACGTATCAAATAGTGTTTTTAAAGAAGATATGAGTCAGAACGGATTGGGTGATAGACACTAGCACAAAGCAAACACAGATTTAGGAGACACATGAGGAATAATGTGGCTCCTGACAGCGTGCAGCTCTGCGTTTGTCGGTCAGGGCCTGATCCTGTGAATTGCTGAACTGAATTAATTAAGAGCCTAAGATACCATTAAGTCCATGGGGACTGACAGTGCTCAGCACTACTCAGTGTTGAGGCCCTTAAATAAAAGCCAACCTACAAATTCCAATTCATGCGAGTAACAATATTGCACACAGCTACAGTGGGGACATGAATTATTCACATCAGTGTAGCATGAAAGATGCAAACAGCAAAGCCTGTTTAAAATAACACACAAATACTCAATGTTTCTGTGATATGTGGGAGGGTTATCATTTGGCCCATTTTTCACTCATATGCATATTGCTTTTATTAATTGCGTGCATAGGTCTGATATGAAGATGTGGAAAAAATATATACAGGAGATAGACATCTAATAAACATTAGTAGAAAACGAGGAAAGAAGGTTCCTGATTAGCATTCTTCCCATATGAAACTACTAGATTGTATCGGAGTTAAGTGTTTTACCATTCTTTTTTTTTAACCATTATCTGATCAGAGAAGCATAAAAAGCACTTTATTGCCTTTTTTTTTATCCCTGTGCTAGGAGCCCTCTGCAGGAAGTGAAGCTGAATTTCACAAATCTTCCCTTTCTGACGTCTCCCGAATTTCTAGGAATACCCCTTCCCTGTTACTATATTTGGTGGTAGTTTCTAGGAAAAAAATAATTTTCGGACGGTCTTAGACTCACCACACCTCCTCTCCGAGGACTGTGCGCCCCGGGTCTCCTGGCACGGCCCCCGCGGAGTTGAGGAGCTCACGGCTCGGGCTCACAACTCCCGGCGCAGACTGCACGTCTTTGTAGCACTGTTGGAGGAATGAGCATGGAGAAGGAGTGGGAAGGGGAGAGGTGTCTTTGTGGCAACAATGAGTGAATCTTCTCTAGTTTTTTTCCTGGCGGCTGCTCTTTTTTTTTTTCTTTCTTTCTTTTTCCCTCCCTGCACTTTTTTTTTTGCCCCCTTTTTTCAAGGAAGAGGATCTTAATGAAAGAAGAAAAAAAAAAAACCTCTGGATTTTTTTTTCCCCCTCCGTTTCCCCTCTCCCCCTCCCCTTGATGTGGCCTCTTGTTTAGCTTGTGGCGTGACCGTGATGAAGAAATGTTTCAGGGCGCCTGGCAGGGTGATCTTTTTATGTAATGAGTCAGGATTTTGCCAACGGAAGGAGCCGGCTCGGAGCGAGGACCGAAGGGCTGTCTCCTTTCAAGAACGGGGACCTGCCCGGAGAGCGGCTCCCTGTGCTCGGGATCCCCGCTCGCTGCGGGCGCTGATCCATTCCCATTCCCGGCTCGCGGGGGCACCGCCGCGGGCACTGACAAGTGGTGAGTTGCGCTCTCCCTCCGCGCCCCCGCTCCGCGCCGCCCGCGGGGAGCAGCGCGGCGCCGCGACGTTCCTCGCCGAGGCCGCAGGTGCGGCCGCCGCCCCGCGCCCCCTTCCGCGGGCAGCCGGGGCCGCGCCCTGCGCGGGGATGGGGCGGCTCCGCGCCGGGCGGGCACCGGGGCGTGCGGGCGCGGCCGCGGAACGCATCGCCGGGCGCGCGGCCCCGGGCAGCTCCCGGCGCGGCCCCGCGCCCACCTGCCGCAGGCCGCGGAGGAGGCGCGCCGGGCGGATCGCCGCCGTGCCGGCACCCTCGGGAGCCACAGGTGGCCGCTCCCCGCCGTGGCCGCTCCCCGCCGTGGCCGCTCCCCGCCGTGGCCGCTCCCCGCCGTGGCCGGCCGCCGGTCCCGTCCCGCTGCCTCCGCGTGGCTTCTGCGGCGACTTTGGCCAGGCACAAATAACTACAAATGCGCGTGCGGAGGGGTGTCGATGCGCACCGTCTGATCTGCTCGTGTGAAAGCATGGCCAGAAAAATCTCCTAAATCATCACAGCCATAAATAAGTCAGTTAAAATGTATGGTCTGTAGAAAGAGGAATTATTTAAACATTTCTACTTAGCGAGAATTTCCATCAACTTCTCTACGCTTTCCTTTCAGGATGTATTTGGTGATTATAAAGCAGTTCAGCTAGGACAGCATTCTTCGGCTCCGCGTTTTGACTATCAAAAGCAGAATGAATGTAATAGTGGCTTTTCAAGGACAGTAATTAATTTCTTTTAAAGTAACTGACAGCATTAACTTACTTCAGCCATCCAAGTGTAAACTATAATGCTTTTAACATGGATCTTATTTAGAAGCTCTGTTGCAATTATAAAGTGAAGATTTAGAATATATGTTCCTTTTGTCCATGAATTTCTACTTATCCTCTCATCTTTGAAACAAGACCTTATGAAATATAATATTGAGGGTAGTAAGATGATGTAGAACTGAATACTTGGGACTATCATTGTTAGTAGGAAGAGACCTGTTTTCAAGTGAAAATAATTTCTAGTTTATTGTACAAATAACAAATTTAGAATAATGACAGACATTTCTCTATAATGTGTCAACTTTAGTCTGAAATACAGTGAAACAGATAAATAGTAACTAGTTATTTACTTTGAGAAGAAATCTTAATAGATATTTTGGGTGCTGGGTCTAATAACTTATTCTATGTCATTTTATAGACACTTAGAAAAGGTTCTTCTTACCTGCTTGATAAATAGATCATAAAATTTTAATAAAATTAATTAGTGTCTGTTAGCAATTCTTGCTGTCCAGAAAGTGAAGGAGGGTGTATTGCAACTGCTCTATAACATTCTCTTCTGATTAGTTTGAAAGTTACCCACTCTAGAAGCAATGACTCAGTTGATTGGGCATATCTTACAAAGATACTTTACTTACAAATTGAATCTTGGAAGGCTGTGGTTCCAGAGTCGGGGTTTTGGGGGCGAGATGAGCTTATGTTTTATCCAACTGGCCCACAAAGTCCCGCTTTTGGTGGTCACTTTGTTCTGCAAAAGAAAACAGCACATTATGGCTCTTACACTGGACAGTAAACTTAGTAGTAAACTACTGCTGCACTTAGTAAAGGGCTATTATACACTTTAAATAAATAATCAAGTTCTCACTTTAATGTTGTCTTCAGAAATAAAAAGTGGATAGAAAATACAATCATTCCGAAAGTTAAACATAAAGGTTTTTTAACTCTTGGTGGTGTTTTTCTCTTAAAAAGCCAGCAAAAGCTGAAGAAAAAGTCACTTTCAAAGGGTAGCCATGCAATACAGGTGAACTGGGAGAAAAGATGGTCCCTAAAAAAGAGAGGCAGTTTAAACCTTGAAAAAAATTTTTAACCACTGGTAGCGTTTGTATTGTCAATCCCCACCTCATTTTTTTTTGCTCACAAAGTATTCAGCAGAAATGTATCTCTTGAATGAGCTGTTTCTTTATGTGTGTCTGTGTGTGTCTCCATGTGTATGGTCTTTATCCATGATTCAATTTAAAGACTGCTCATTTTTGTACTGGTAAAATTTGTGGAATATATTATTGTAAGTAAGGCAGTATAAACCTGAGCTTGGTAGAACTGTTTAAGTTCATGTTACTATTTACATTTTGGTATCAATATCCTAAAGAATGGAAGTATTATTTTTACTTAAAAGTTACATAGCTGTACTTTCCTCATGGGATTTTAGAAAGTGTTGAAAACACTGGTAGATGCACTGAACTTTCTCGTGGTTCCAAATAATATACTGCACAGATATTTAACACTGAATGAACACATGATACTCACACAATGTAATTTATACAATGCTTCACATATACAGCATATTCACACAACATACATGCAGGAGCATCCTCTCAGTTGGTGTAAACGTGTCTGTCATAGTTTTGACATTTAATGCCAGCTAATCATCTACTTAAGCTACACATAAACATCCAGACATCCACATTGTGGTCACATTGTCATTGCAGTCAAGTTAATTTTAAGTGTTGACCTATTCAGACTGAATCAATTGGAGTATTTCAAAAAGGCCTGGAAATTCAGCTGAAGTGAGAAGTGACACACTGGTAAAGCAAAGTTGTTGGCATGTGATTTATTATTTGACTATATGCAGGATCTGTACATTTATGCAAATGAATTTCAGGATGAATTATCAAGATTTTTCTATAGAATTCTCACATTTTATATTTTATAGCAATATAATCGCAACACAAATGAAATACGATGTATCCAAACCTCAGTGCAACAAATTCCTCACTTGTTTAAGACTGAAATCTGATTTGGAGGAGCTTAGGTCAGAAACACGGTGCAAATATGTTTTTTTGCTACTATTTTCCGTTAAATAATACTGTTCAGAAGCAGCATTTGTGAAAAGTTAAATTTTCATGAGCCAATTAAAAAAAATAACTATAGAAATATTTTATTTTTAAAATTATACTACAGTATATTAGTACTTTGTGAATACATTACAGACCTGTCCAATCTTCCTAGTTGTCAGATTTGGATTGGTTTAATTCCTGTCGTCTCTTCTCTAGTATTCTGAGAATGAAAGAGCAGAGAATCAGACATGAGAAAGTGGATCAGTGTGAGGATCTTGCTTTAAGGGAAAAGAGAAACACTTATATCCAAACAGCAGCAAAGATCAGCTCTGCTGAATTACCACAGTTGCTTCTTACCAGCTGTTACTTTAAAGCTCTTAAATTAAAATGTAATTTTGTACAGCTACTTCCAGTAAGATGTGCTTTATGTATCACACTTTGTTAATCAGCTATTTTTAGATTATTTTTTAAAATAGAATCTATCTGGCTCTCTACTGAGGATATATAAAATTCACTTGCATTCCTTCTAGCACCAATAACCTAGCTATGGAATTAATACACTATTTAAATGATTAATGAGCAGTGTTAAAGAACACAGTTATGCTTCTGTAGGCCTTCCTCATACAATATTTTTATTCACATTTTTCCCATCAATAAGCTTGCAGAAAGAGCTCCTGTTTGTCTCTGGTGTGCAGTAGAACAGACAATTTTCTGCTGCTATAGATATCATGCATATATTTTAAACTTTAAATGTATGTTCATTTTGTATGTGTTACTTAAATGAAGGATGATTAGACAAAACAGTGATAGATTTCCTAAACATCTGTGTTATAAAAATTTGATCTCTTTCCCTCACCCTGGTTTTCCCAGCAATTTTGCGTGCAGCTTGGGGTGCTGGCCTCAGAGCTGAGACTCCTGAAGTGCACTGTGTATCCAGAGCATTAATAATTAAATAGCTGGAATCAGTCTATCTTGCTATCTGAGATGAAAAAAGAAATTTACAGAAGATAAAAAGTAGGTGATATGTTTGTAATAAAAATTAATTTTTCTTCAGAAAAAAGATGTCATTAATTATAGAAAGAATAATATTTAGAAATATCAACCCCAACCATATATTGCATTTATAATTGATAAAATTGAAAGCCCTACTAGCTATCTTTCTATTTAGAATAAATTTAAAACTACATTTAAAAAATTACTTTTCTGCATTTTTAAGCAAACCTTTAAAAAACCAGCTTACAAACGCAGTGAATCAGCAGAGGATTACTGAATAGCCTAATCTGTTTACTTTTGAAATTTTATTGAAAGCAGTGAAAAGATCAGGATCTCCACCAGAGTCCTGTGGCATGGTTTGGAGATTGGTCTGGGGCCTGCATTTTCTGAAGCAAGGCCTCAACCTTTGACACCTCCTGACCCCGTGTTGCAACAGAAAAGTTTTGTGACTCCCCTCTGATCCAGACACAGAAAAAGAGAGAAGAGAGGTAACCACCCTAAGTTTGGAAACTCATGATCTGGAATAACTAAAAATGTTGCCTTACTAAAGGCTACAGAATCAGTTGTCCTTTCCTAGGAAGCTCTCCAGAGTTTTTCCAGGGCAAGAACACAGCAGCCACCTGAGCTCTGAATTTTAAACTGTGCCTTGTTCTTTGCTCCCTGCTGCAGTGTCACACACCAGCACTGCTTCCCTGTGGAACCCTGACCTCATGCCACAAGGAAAGTCTAGGCAAACACAAACCAGTGTGTTCAGGCATATTTTCTAAAGGCATCACTCTAAAGATCATTTTACCTGCCTTGGAAATTGTATTTCGAAGCCTATGAAGCAAAAACAAAACAAAGAAGTGCATTTTTAAAAATTGGTTTAAAAGATGAGGGGAAAAGCACTGCTGTCACCTGGAAGCTGCACCTGCAGTCCAAGATGTGGTAGGAAAGTGGTTCAGACCACGTGGCTTGAGACTATGAAGCTTCTGGTGAAATCAATGAATTTAAAGCATCATTTGCCCAGCTCACAGTGCACATCAGTTAATAACTACACTAATCCCTTGCTGCAATGCCGTGTGCTATTCTCAGTCAAACAGTGCAAACACGTAGGGAATTTGGTAAAGGTATAAACATGGAAAAAAGAAACAAAGAATCAGGGGGTTTTGCCTATTGTCAAAATGCCCAAATAGTTCCTGTTTACAAGGTCTGGGGGGCAAGGGCAATAATTCTGTATTCAAGTGTGAATGGATAGGCCTTATTCAGCTTGGGAAATTTGGGACCTTTCTTACAACACCTACAGAGTAAATAAAGATAACACCAACAGAAATAAAGCCTCACACATGACTGAGGTAACTGGCTTTGTGAGGTCGCTGACAGGACTACACGTTAGCGTTGGTTCCAGAAGGTTACCCCTCATCTCTGACTCCCTGTTGGATATAAGGCTCTTTAATTACTAACATTTTTTAAAATATTGGAATAATAATTCTCTACAGACAGGCTCCAGAGTTGTTATTTTTACTTGCTTCTAGCTGAGCTCAAAAGAAGTCTTAAAAATTTGCGTCCTGATTTCCTGGTATGATGAATACTTACATTGTTGATATATATGAAAAACTTTTAAACAAAACTGTTCTGATTTTTTTCAGTTAATACTGTTAGCTTTAATTTAGCTGTTAATGAGGGAGACTACAATTCAACAGTATAAAGTAGTATTGATGCATTTTTGCTATTTGAAGTATCTCAGCTTTAGTCAGACAGTCCAAATCCTTTACTGCAATCATGGCCTTTCTATATGAACCAATATAAAACAGTATCTAGACACTAATTTTTTAAGTAAAGTTTTTCATTTGTAGGTCAGGACAAGAATTAAAACAAAACACACACACACACACCCCAAAAATATAAAATGTGTTCTGTTGTCTACAACAAGGCATGTATAAAGGGTTGTAAGACAAGGTGAGAAAAATCCTTTCAGGATGTTTCAGGACTGGCCCACATGTATCAGGAAAAATAAGTGAATGCAATACTTGTACTGAAAGGGCATTTCTAGTTGTTATACATTGCTGCTGTTAAAAGCTTCTGTTTTATAGTCAGCAAAATCTTGATTTTTGCTTTGATGCTGCTGCTGTTTATATTAAAGCTTTCTTTTGTAATCAAAGGACTATTTCAAATGACACGAAGCACACACCTCTGTCAGTAGGTGCCTGGATGCTGTTGTGAGTCAGAAGTATCTCCACTGAATTCACTGGATCTACATCCATAAAAAATGCAAGTGAGATCATGTTAAAATTTCTGGAATCTGAGAAAAGAATTTAGTTAATTTTTCATATTTTAACATGGAAAAAAGTGCAAAAGTATTACACAGAACATCATATTAAATAACGTGAGGAATTAAGTATTGCATTTTTCAACAATGTTATTTTATGCTTTTTGCTACAAGAAGCTGTGAAGAATATGCCTGTTAGGTGCTAGTCAGTGTGGATTATTTTAAAGTAGTTACTTTTCATTGGGCATGACAATTGAATGGGCTTAACTTAAAGTTCAAATGTGCTACCTGTTTTACTAAGGATATTTATAAATACGGATAATTCAGCCTACTAAATTGGGATTCCACTTTGTATTTTTACTCTGACTGGTCCTTTTGTATGTATGGAAAACTGCCCAGACAGTTCATTGGAAAATATTTTAAAATTCTTAGAATGAAAGATGTTCTATTCTAATTCTATTATGTATCATTTTCTTCTATAAACTAATGTTCACTCTGTCACTGAAGTATCCTTAAAAATAAGAAATGCAGGTCAGTAGTTGATGTTGATTATCCAGGGGTTTTGTTTTGTTTTTTATTTTTTTCCTTTTGGAGAGCTGAAAGAAGAAAAACTGTCCTGTATTGTCTGGGCTTTGTGCAAAATGTTTTTCACTTCCCAATAATAGTATTTCTAAGGTAGCTGCCTCAAAATTCACTTAATTGTGTGGACAGAACCATTTTATACATCCAGAGCTAATGAATTAGAGGATCCTTGAAAAACTACAGTTTTCCTATCCAGTGGACTAACAGAAAATGATGAAATCCTTAGGTGTTGTTGGAAAGTTGTTCTAACTTAAAAATCTTTTCTTTATAGTTTCATTCTTGATGTTCCACAGCATTCACCACTTCCTGCATGGCTTTTAACCGCAGGGAAAATGAGGGACTTTTGGGGGCAGATGTGTTTCCATTACACTATCATAATGCCCCTAAAAATCCTTATTGCTCTTGCAGTATTCTTCTGTATTGCTGGGCCTGGTGAGAACTACTTGAAGACCTAGCTTATAAATACAGCTTTTCTCTAAAAACACTTTAAAAACACCACTGAGTTTTATTTTGTTTGTCTTATATTATTTTTAGTTGTGTTTACTGTTGCTTAAAATAAAAATGGCAAGATACACAACCACCTGTTGGTAAATAAATGTCATAAGTCATAAATCCAAGGGACATGCTGATAACTGCATGGGATTATGAAGAGGGATCTGTTTTGGCTTAAGAATGAGAGCTTCATTTTTTTGGTACAACTAACTTTTTTCTTACATAAGAATTTAGCATTTATGTCTCTGAAAATATGACAGATGTTTTGCAAGCTAACTTGAATGACGACTGTAAGTGAGCCTCACTTAGAATATTTACTGCATTTGGAAACACACATCAGGCCATTTATCAAATGCATGGATCTGTCCAGTACCTTTATTTAAATTAAATGCACTAAAATATTCAAATCATGTTTTTATACAGTCTCAAAATAAAGTTATGATTAAACCTGAAGAAGACATTGTGGGTTGTCAGGTGTCCTATGCTTACTCAACTCAAAAGGTGTTTGTGTGGCTGTACCTCTCGCTGAGGTTTGTGAGGAAGGCACAGTCCATTGGGAATGCAGTCATGGCTCCTCCCATGAAGGGAGCCATGGCCAGGGATCTCCCAGGCACAGGTCATTCCTGCTGGGTGGCAGGTTCTCCTGGAGCCTGCAGTCTTCCAGTTCTGGAAGGAGAAGGCAGAACATACACATATAAACATGGTTTGTTGTTGTCTTGGTCCTGCAGAGCAATACATCATCAGTTTGACATGTGCAGTGCTGGTAACATTTATTTCAGTAGCAGAGTGTGGGGCACACACGGTGCTGTCACTGCTTTGTGTTAAATGTACTCTTGACTTCACTGACTCGCTTTACAGAAATTATAGATGGTGTCACATGGTCCCTCTGACAGTGTCTGCGAAAATCTTTAAATACCCTTCAAAATATTTGGTGACTTAGGAAAGAAATTAACTTGGTGGATTCACCAGACCACTTTTAAAGTTTAATCTCCAGGGAGATGGTCTTCGTTCTTCTGTAGGAATATGTCTCATTTTTCATGCATCAAAATCTTACAGGTCAAGTCACATCCTACAGGTCACAAAGCAGGTTTGCTGATATGATTGAGGCTCACAACTTCTGCTGCCCAAAGAAATAATACAGTAACAAGAAAATTCCTTCTAGAAGGACAGAATGAGCAGTGTTGAACAATTTTGTATTCACAGGTGAAAACATGCTGGAATATATCCCTCAAAAATAAACACTGCAAGATGCAACAGCATTTCAAATTAATGTACGGACAGAATAAAAAACACAGTCATTACATTAATTTGAAATTTTCATATCAATATTGCAGAGTTCCTATTTGGACTGCTGATCACGAGATGATCCCTAGTACCTTCTGACATGAATGGAGGGTATAACACAGACTGGCTTGAGGCTAATTCAGCCTTTATAATTGCAGTTACTTACAAGGTATGAAACTAATTGAACTATTAGTTATAGAGGTTTTTTGCATGTTTTTATTCTAAACATGCCAAGGTGTATGTTCAGCATTCTTTTTATTTCCAAGTGACACTCCTAGGTAAAGATTCTGCATCTAAATGAAAATGATTTTTTTAAAAAAGCATGCAACAGCAAATATTCTGTGGTGTTCTCCAGTATTAAGGACCAGTGAAGGGAGCACTCCCTGAACTACAAATTGTATCACCTTTATCCAGAAGACTTAACATGAACAGAGTCGAGATTTTTTGTAAAAGTCTCTATGCTAGTCACAATCCTATTTAGAGAACACTGTAAATAGATTTGAACTTTAAAACTGATCTGATCTGATCTAAAACTGATCTAATTTTCTATTTTTCCTATGTTTTCCTATGTTCCTTATTTTACATGTAATCTTTCAAGGATATCCAAATTACTTTTTTTCCTAGCATATGCAATCATTCATATAATCTCTTGCATGAATAACTCGTTGATTGAACAGATGATTCTTGCATATATACCTATTTATATACATACAGGTTGTAGGAAGAGTTATATTCCTTCTGAATGTGTGCTCTGTAAATATGTAAAAACATACTTCTCATATGACACTACTTTCAAGAAAAATATATACTTAGACCAAGCAATCCCGAGATTAAATTCAAGGAACAAGATCAAAACAAGTAACATGGTATTCCAGTTCCTTTTACATCTATTGGGAATCACCTAGCTTATAACTGTAATTTTGTTTTACACATTTTTATCACTGAAGAATAAGCATTAAAAAATGAGAGTCAACCACATGGTTTGAGATGTGTACTTCAACTTCTGAATTCAAATACTTGCTTCAGATTTTTTATTTTAAGTATTGAAATCATTTTGGTATGAAATAGTATGTCACAAAAATCTTTGGATCTGATATAGCCTCAGAGGAAGGACTGCAAAAGTCATCTGTAAAACTGTCCACTCAGCTAACAGCACATTGGGAATAGGCTGTGAGTAGGTTTCAGTATCAAACATTTTGTAAAAGATAATATTTTTCTCTGTTTGTTTTCTTAAATATTCACAAAGCACAGATTTCTATTAGCCTCTTCTTAGGGCTAATTTTTAATTATAGGGCCAAGAGACATTAACAGGAACAAACAAATTGCTCTAAAAGTTAAAACAGTAGCAAGTAGGTAATTTTTCAAGTAGAATTTCCACAGTGGAAAAGATATTAAGTATTTGTTGTGTGCCAAGAAATGAGTAATATGAGAAAACTTAGATTCTTTTACAAAATGGAAGAGCATTAATAGCATTTCAGGTTTTCATTATATATAAAATTCTTGATTACCAACAGTCTCATAATAGATAAACAAAAATAGAAGAAAGGACATGCAGTTATTAAACAGGCTGAATAAGAGACACTCATTTATGTATTGAATAAGCCCATTTTTATCTCAAGTTTTGAGCACTCAACTGTATGTACACTATTTAAAACATGATTCAGAATACAGAATTTGGCTGATCCATTTTTATAGTGTTTCTTTATTTATTTGCTATGTTATTTCACTTCCAGTGTGTTAGATCCAGTTTGTTACCGAATGAAGAGTGTCAGCTGTGCTCCAGCCCATGCTGAGGGGTCCCTGTGCAGCTCCTCTGCTGTCACCTGTGGGGAGGTGACTCCAGAGCCAGGCTTTGAGCACAGGGAGTGCACAGGCTGTGGCACCAGGAGGCTGCTCAGGAAAGCTCAGATAAAGCCACCTAATTCCACAGTGGGCTAGAGAAAGAGAAGAGCTATAGCAAAGGGAAAACCACTGCTCAGATGCTGTGAAAAAGTCTATAGAGTAAAGCAGCAGAATGTGGCCAGAAGTAAAGGGGAAGGAAGGATTCATCACACCCTGCAATGGAGCTTTTCACTGAATGCTTAGTTATGGGAGCATAAGTGCATACAAAAATAAACTCCATCAATAAATGGTCGCTGCTGCATTTCTCAATTATATTAAACTGTTTCAGACTTTGTTAATTTGTTGCCATTTATGGTTGATTAAAGATGTGCAAATAGTTTTATTTTTCCTTAACTTTTGAATGTATACAAACTATTTTATTCCCATATTTAAATCATTAGTGTCAAGATTCTGACTAAAGTGGGTCTTCATCATTGTATTATCATCAAGTGCAAATATCAGTTATGAAGCCCATGGCTGACATAATTTCAGCTACAGCTGGACAACAACTGTGTACATACACTGTAGCGACACAAGAAATCAATGAAAGTGAATTAAAATCATTAAAAGAAACCACATATTTTATAATCAGACTTTTATCAAGATATGACCTATTTTATACTTAAGAAATTAAAACAGAAGCTGAAATGTTTGTTTCCTTTTCCAATGACAGATTGTATTTTGTATATTCCTTTAAAAACAAAATTTACAGTCTTGCAATGATTGCCTCTGAGGCTTTTGGCGATCTCAGCTGTGACAACAGTGTCAGTACCAAACAAGATTGCAGTAGGTTAATTTTTAATTCAGAGGAGGCAATAAGATATTTCTATATGAAGCCAGGGAATCTGTGCTAGTCATTTTTGGAGTGCTGAACAATCCATAACAAAATTATCCCATGACTGCAGTTGGCAATATGGAGAACTGAGTGAGCCCACAAGATCCCCAGACTGTAGTTTGAATCAAACATAGACTTTGTATTATAATCTGGACTCATACTCAAATAATCTAGATTTAGTATTTTGATAATTCATATTAAATCATCTTACAGATTTATTCTAACTTGTACCAAATTGTCACAATTTTATTCTTTAAAGACTCTGGATATGTCTAAAACAAAAAAGGAAACAAATCCCTTCTTAGAACATATCTGAAATGAAAACTCTATAGAGTTTTGGTTCCAGTCTGAGCATCAGGAGGTGAATGTTGCAGCAGGAGGTTCTGGATTCAAGGTCTAGGCCCTGATTTGCCCTCTGGCCAGTGACAGGGAGGTGACAAAGGGCCTGACTGGAAGGCAGGTGAGGTCAGGTGTGCCAGCACTTCACCTGTCAGAGGGAGCAATACAGCAATACCTGATTCCAGAATGTGTTTTGATCTGGAATAGTCAGCTCTGGCCTTAAACACCCTATCTTTCTGTACCAGCTCCTTTCCTATCTCCTCCTTTCCAGATTATCCAGTTAATAAACAGAAAGTTCCAAGAAGTCAAGAAACCCACCCAAAACCAGAGGTAACTCCTCCTGCCTGGAAGTAAAGACAGAGCCACAGCTGCCATTTCCTGATAACGTCCCTTGCAAACATCCCGGACGGGGATACCTGCACCCGTTAGGCAGCTCAAGCCTCTGGATCTTCCTGTAAAGCAGGACCCGGCCGTGCCAGGCAGTGTCCCCAGGGCCACCTTTGCCGGGCTGGCACACCGTACCTGGCAGCCCCTGGGGTCCCCGGTCCCTCCTGCAGGGCCGCCCTGTGCCTCTGTCCTTTGTGCTGCAGCTGCCACCGCTCAGCAGGCACAGCACACTGCACTTTAATTGCTATTTTATGGTTTCACTGATTTCTTCTCAGATGCCACCCACAAGATAGCAAGACATGGTGAACTGCTGCATCTTGAGTTTCATCTCACCCAGCTCCCAAAGAGAATTTCCTTTATCACTCTCATAAGGGAACTGAAAAACTGCCTACAACTCTGGTTGGCAAGCAAAAATAATGCTTTAATGGCACAGTTTTAAGTGATTTCACTAGGAATTAACACGAGCAGAGTATTAGATATGATATATACCCTTGACCAGCAAATCCACAGAGTATATTACAATTTCTGTAATAGCAAGTTTATCTAATTGCACAAAAAAAAGGTAAAATTTCTAATGAAGTACAATATCGGGTGCTATTGACATAATTATATATTTTCATCTTTTTACGGAGAACAGAAAAATGTATTTTCCTATTCTGCATACAGAACACTTGAAATAATTAAGTACTTTATGCTAAGGCACCAGACTATGGCAGTATTACAGCAAAAACATGGAGTTAAAACATATTTGGGAGACAGGGACTTTGTTTCTGTTCTGTATGATGATTCTGCATCTCCCAGTCCTGATGTATGTGTTTAACACTCAAGTGTTAAAAGCTTGGAAAGAACAAATAATAAATTCAAGGTGCTGTACCTGATTTTGAAATATGTTTTAGGCTGCACATAATTATTGCCAATCTTTAGCATGAGAAATAC